TCTATTAGGCCTGTCTGAGTGGACTGAGGGTTTAACCATTGCTGCTACTCAGAGACTCCTGAAATGTAAACAGGAAATTCCAATACACATTGTGACAAATGTTAGGTAGAGATAGGCTTATGTTGCAGACTAAGGGGTCAAGTAGGCTCTTAGTGATACCACAGTCAAGTGTTTTAGTAAAGCAAAGGAAGGATTGAAGAGATGGGGAATAGCAGACTAAGCAGAGGGAACAGCATGAAAAGGCCCAGAGACTGAGATTGACAGGGAATCACAAGTAACTGTGCAACAGTAGAATGCTGGGTTCTTAGGGAAGAGAGCCAGAAGGTGAGCTTGGAAAACTAGATGGAAGAAGTCTCATCAGTAACTTTGTGTCTACACTAAAGGGTTTGGACTTCATCCTAAAAGTGATGAGGAACTATAAAGAGTTTTAAGCAGTGGGTTGACATGTACAGATAGTGTTTTAGAAGAATCATTCTGATGGCAACGAGAGGATGGATTGTACGTGGGAGAAGTTGGCAATAAAGGGACAAATTACTTGCAGAATTAACAATTTATGTATGTCAAAAAGCACCAAAAGCAAAGTTTGAAAGCATTTAGCATAGATGCAGCATTTTGGACAAAAATTATACCTAATGAAATTCCATATGAATAATAGAGATAAGCATATCAAATAAACAGAAAATTAACAAAGAAAGAAGTACAAATGATCAGTAAGCATATGACGATGTTATTCACTAACAAACAAAGAAGTAGAAGTACAAGTTAAATCAATATTAAAATAATATTATTTTGCATATCAAATTGACTAGGTTAAATAAATGATAATACCATAGCTGCAAGGAACAGTGAACTCTCAAAATTGCAAATAGGAGAACGTTTTCTGGGAGCAACTGGTAACAGGTATCAAAATTCTTAAAAATAGCTGAGGCTTTCTTGGATTGTGCCTTAAGGAAATAATCATGTTGTTAAGTGCCATGGAGTTGGTTTTGATTCATAGTGACCCTGTATCGGATTTCTGATGCTGTAAATCTTTATGGGAGCAGAAAGTCTCATATTTATCCCACAAGGAAATAGTCATAGATGTGTGTAAATATTCTGCTTTCAGAATGTCTGTTGCAATACTATTTACATTTTAAAAATTGGAACAAATGAACTCTTACTATTTGGGGATTGGTTGCAAAATGATATCCATCCATATAATGAAGACATGCTTGAAACGTGTGAAAGACATGCAGAAATGTTCATGATATAAGTGAAGTAACACAAGTTTGGAAAGCATGTGTCCAGTATGTTACCATCTGTGTGTAGTAAGGATATATATTTGAAAGTGCATAATTATCTCTGGAAGGGTATATAGGCAATTGGAAGGAAGCTGGATGGTTGGCAGACTAGACAGGAGGGAGATTTATTTCTTACCCGAGTCTTTTGTGCTTTTAAAATTTTAATCTGTGTGTGTATATTACGTATGCTAAAATATAAATACTCATTTTGAAAAGCAGGTTATTAAAGAGTATAAACAGTATGATCTAACTTTTTTAAAAAACAAAACGAAATTATATGTATTTACATCTGACAAAGACAACAGAAATATTTAAAATGATAACAGTTTTTATATTGAGTAGTAGAATAATGGGTATGAGTTTATCTTATTTTTTTCCCTTAAATTTCTGCAATAAACATATGCTGTTTTCATAAATGAAAGAAAACTAAAACTTTCATCCCAAGTGTCTATTATAAAGGACTAGCAGATGACAGAGAGCAGGTCAGGTCCAGGATTAGTACTGCATGTACAGTTCAGCAGTGACATCTGTAAATGATGTGTGTAATTTATTGACAGTCCTTATTTTGGAGTGGGATGGGGAGAAGGAAGCTGAAGGAACTTAATTTTGCTTAGCAGCTCTCTGAGTTTCTGTTGATCAAATGTACAGATAATTCAGCCACACCACTCCCAGACATCCTCAACCAGTACAGATTTTTGTCTTGGGACCATTTAACTTAGGGTCAGAGTAAATGGAATCCCATAAACATGTTTATCTAAATCATCAGATGGACTGTACACATGTTCTGTGAGGTTCTGTGAGGTCACCCACAATACTGGTTTTTAACCTTTCTCCTTGGGACTGCAATAATCTTACCCCTGTCTGTCCAGCCCTGCCCCAACTTACTTGTTTAGGCAAGACCTCGCTCCTTACTCCATGCTGGGAGTTTAGGCAAGACCTCTCTCCTCACTCCTAGTCTTTCCTGAAGTTGGAATAGGCCCTGCTGGTTACTCTTGATCTTATCTTCATCTTTCAGATGCTAACAATCAGTTTGTCAACTCACAAACTTTCTGGGCTAGAGGTCTAGAATGAGGGCATTTCCCACATATATTTATGCTACTTCTTGGGGTGGGATTGAGTTGAAGTCATGTGAAGCCATTTTAGAGAAAGAGGACATGGTAGAGATGGGAGAGAATGCAGTAGTTAGAACAACTGTTTCCTTTTTTTCTTTTCCAGTGAGTGAGCAATATGCAACTTTGTTGTTGCTGTTAAGTGCCATCGAGTAGATTCCAACTCATAGCGACCCAGTATAGGGTTTCCAAGGAGCAGCTGGTGAGCGCGAACCACCGACCTTGCATTTCAAATGGCTTTGCAGTCTGGTGCATTAACCCACAGCGCCACACCAGGATTCAACAATGCAACTATGTACTATGTACCCCTAAATATTTCTAGTACTTTCTTGCAGCCCACATTGAAAACTTTTGAATAATCATGTGAATATAACCTGTACTTCTGCCTTCTGTGCCCCTAGGCAGTGATAGGATCCTGCAGAGGTAGAACCTCTGATTAAATAAATAACCCATAATTAACTTTGTGTTTCCTTTTGATCTCTGGCTCTAATTGTGACTCTTCCCTGATGCTGACGATGTGGTGAACAATTCTAGGTGGGTTGTGTGGATAGTGCTGCCCCATCAGCAAGGAGAACAAACAAGACACAAAAATACCTGCTGGGCCTCAACTGTCTTTCCCTGGCCATTAGAGAATCTTGTCTTAAGAAATTTTCTGCTTCAGGCTAAGCACAAGAGGAGACCCATGTATCAACATTAATATGATTATGGCTTTTCATCGTATTCTACATTGCCCTGCTTTGGAATGAGTGAAAGTTCTCAACATAATACTTTATGCCGAGGCAATGTGTAGCATAGTTCAGAGGTAGAGCTTTGGAGCCAGACAGACCTGGACCAAAGCCTAGTTCTACCACTATGGCCATGCAACTTCGGAATAGTTCGTTATCAGGGTCTCAGTTTTCTTATCCATAATGTGGGAATACTATTTCATAGTTTGTGTGAAAGAAATGAGATAATACAGGTAAAAATCTGAGGATAGTGCATTTAATAACTGCTAACTATTAACATTATTGCAGCTGTGTATATTTCAATTATACAACATAGTCTCGTCCACTATTTACATGAAAAAAATACATGAAAGTGCCTTGGAAAAAATTAAAGCATTATAGCAGTTAAAGTTGTCATTGGTAATAATCTCCTCTATCTTCTCGGAATCTGGAACATAATCTTCTGTCCTACAGCATATTGCATGTTGATAAGCAAACAATGAGCCTTCAGTAAACGCTTCTTGTTTGACTGAAGCAGTATGGTATAGAGTAAAGAGCATAGATATCAGGAGACAAGGCTGGAATAAAATTAGTTTAAATCAGGAGAGGAAGTCTTCAGTGGAAATTTATTCATTCAGCAAATATTTGTTGAATACATTTCTATGAGCTAACTATTGAGTTTAGATAATTTCATCACAAGTCCTCAGATAGCAGTCCCTGGGTGGCTCACACAGTTCAGCACTTAACTACTCACCAAAAGGTTAGTGATTAGACCCCTCCCAGCAAACCTGGTGGTCGGCTTGGAAAAGTTTGCAGACTTAAGAACCCTATGGAGCAGTTTCTACTCTGCACATGTGTGGTTGCTGTGAGTCGGTAACAACTCAACAGCAACTAACAAGTCTGGATAAAGCCAAGCTCTTGGGCAGTCTCTCTAATCACAGCCCACTTTAGAAGTGCAAAGACTGTACTCAGTGGTGCATATCACTGTACAAAGGGCCATCTACTTTGGGGGAAGCTCCATCTGCTTGGCTGTAACAATCTCTGGTTGAAGGTTGGAGGAGAGGGCAAAAGTGAGGGTGTGAGCTGCTTCCAGCAGAAATAGCAGGAACTATTGCCTGTTATTTTTGTTTATACTTATTAGTCTACAATTCAGTTCCCTAATCTATATAGCTTTTTCCACTAGGTGTCATCTCTCTCTTCCCTGACATCTGCACTATGTGCCCTGCTCCAGTCCTTGTCTACTTCATTTTGTCCTGCTGTGTGGGAGTACGGGAGCATGGTATGTGTGATCATTAGCAGGCACTGAGAGTGGGCTTCAGTGGCATGTGAATCCTGGCAGAGTCTTGGGAGAGTAGAAAGCTTAATAAGCCAAGACAAGTAAGGGAGAGAGGCAGAGGTTACTCCAGCGTACAAATGCAGAGTCTTATGTTGTCTGAACCAACACTTCAGGCATTTGTCTCTTCCCTGAATTTGTCATAATTGGCTTGAGATGCTCAGGTCTGTTGGGAAGGTCTAGAAAGCCCAGCTCATGGGTCCAAGACTGCTGTTCTTTAAGGTGGGATATCTATCAGGCTCCAGCTCTGTCAGAAGCACTGGCCAAAATCAAAGCAGCACCATCACTCATGACCTAAATCCAGCAGATCCAGCAGAAATTTAGGAGCCCCTTCTTTGTCACTGACCTGCTAAAAAAGAGGATTTCTCCATTATCTGGGCAACCCACCAGTTTCCAAATTTGTGTGTGTCCTTCTTTCACACTGGGAGTAGATAAAGAATGAAATGGCAGCTAGAGGAAAAAGGGTGAGCTGGAAGAAGTGGGAAGAAAGGAACAGATCCAGGGAGGGGTTCTCCACCAAGGGTGCCTGGAAGTCTCAGGTCAGGCATGGGCACAGTTCTGGAGAGGCTCCTGGTTACATGGCTTCTTTCTCTCTTTGGGAGCATCTGCTCAGCTTCATTTCTGTCAGCTGGATATACCGAATCACGTTGGTGTCTGTGTGGAGAGAAACATACTTCATGGAACTTGTAGTGTGGGGAACTAGTATGTCTGCAAACAAGTAGGTTAAAGCTGGGTGAGCAAATAGCAAACAGGCCAGACTCATCCAGTCAAGGTGCTTTGCCTGTTAATGGGCAACCAGAATGTTGGCCTTCTTGTTTACCACTTCCCCTCGGCTAACGTGGGACTGGCCACTGTGACCCAAAGAGCAGAACGGAAGAAGAGAAGTGGAAAGGGAGTTTCTACACTTATTTCCAGACAATAGTGTACCCCCACAGTCCCTGACTTAGCCTTCTTGGAGTTTAACCTTTGACAAGTTACCGACTTCTTGTCTGTCCCTGAGTCTCATGGCTTGTCTGGAAAAAAAACCTCCGTTTTGAATGCTTACTTTGTGTCAGGGATTTTACCTTCATTATTTTGCATAATCCTTACTACAATTTTGCAAGTTATATATCAACATTTTCATCATGACACAGAAGAAAACCTAGATCTTGGATGCACATAGTGAGTGGTACTGTCTGACTCCAAAGTCGTCTTCCCTACGGATAATAATACCTTTCTCACAAAATTACTCCAAAGACCAAAATAGATCAATATAAAAGTGCTCATCACAATGATCAATAAATACTAGTTGAATGCTGTTTTTTTTTTAAAACCTGAAGAGTAAAATGACTTTGCTACATTGTCTCATTTTTGTCCTTATAAACAGTCAAACAACCACCTCTCTACAAACTGGGGAATTTTCCCCAATGGCGCTATGAGTTAATACACCAGACTGCAAAGCTGATTTAAAGTGCAAGGTTGGTGGTTCAAGCTCACTAGATGCTCTTTGGAAACCCTTTCTATACAGGGTCACTATGGGTCAGAAATGACTCAACGGCACTTAACAACAACGACAAGTCCTGAAATTAGCAAGCAAGGAATGATAAGGAGCAGTTGCTTAGCTCTGTATATGCCAGAATGTAGGCGTTAGAGGGATGACTGAGCTATTTACTTCCAGAAGCAAGAATCAATGCTGTCTATATTCTCATAAGATGCCTGGTATATTACCCAGAGCAGTGCTCAATAGAGCAGGTACTCAAGAAAATGTTGTTGAATGAGCCCAGTTCTTAGTCCTCATGTTGTTTCCAGTAGAGTTGGGTGCACATAATTTATATACAGAAAACAAGTTACCCACATATACAAATAAAGTTCTTGATGTCCTTAAAAAAGACAAAGAAAAAAAGGTATACTATTTACAAACTGATGGATGGAGGATTTGATTTTAAAACATAATAATAAACCATATTTCAAGTCAAAGTCATGATTTAAATGTTAACTCCTCAGAGAGATGCTCCTTGACTACCTGGTCTAAAATAGCATTCCCTTTGGGTCCTTGCTTCTTTCAGGTAATAAAGTGCTTTGCCATGGTCCCCAAGGTGGTAGAAGGCCGCACCAGACCGATAAAGGGCCTTGAAATTTTCCCCTTCCTTCTTCAGGACTTTGAGGCAATTCTTCACTCTCTATTGTTTTCTTTTCTTCATAGCACTTGTTGTTGTTGTATGCTGCTAAATCAGTTGTGATTCACAGCAACTCAGATGGACAGAGTAGAACTACTCTATAGGAATTCCAGACTGTAATCTTTACAAGCTCAGATCATTAGGTTTTTCGCCCATGGAGCTGCTGGTGGGTTCAAACATTTCAGTCAGCAGCTAAGCACTTAGCCATTGTGTTACCGGGAACCTTCATAGCAATTGCTATAAATGAATATTACATTATTTATTTGTCTGTTTGTTTACTTCCATCTTCTTCCACTATAACAGGGGTGGTAGAGTGTGCTATCAAGTCAGTTCTGACTCATACTGACCCTGCATAGGGTTCCCAAGGCTATAATTCTTTTCAAGAGTAGAAAGCCTCATCTTTATCCTGAGGAGTGGCTGGTAGATTCAAACTGCTGACCTTTTGGTTAGCAGCCCAATGCGTAACCACTACACTACCAGGGCTCCATACAGGGGTGTTGTTGTTGTAGTTAAGTGCTGTCAAGTTCTGACTCACGGTGACCCTGTATAGGGTTTCCAAGGAGTGGCTGGTGAGATTGAACCACTGACCTTGTGGCTCAAATGGACCTTGTGATCCAGTGCTTTACCCTACAGTGCCTCACCGGGTGGGGAACCTTTTTTCTGCCAAGAGCCATTTGGATATTTATAACATCATTCATGGGTCATCAAAATGATCAACTTAAATGTTAGCCTGCTATAATGTGATGGCTGGAAGTGGGATTGCCTTGGCATGACAAGGCCAAATGATTTCACAGTCCTTATATGGCCTGTGGGCTGGACATTCTCTATTCTTGCACTTTAATGTAAAGCTCCTTGAAGGTAGCAACTTTCTTTTGTTCACTGCTTACGCTGTACCTCAAATAGTACCTGACAAATTGTAGCTGCTTGGAAAATAGGAAAAGAATGAATGGATGAGTTAGTGACTTTGATTTAAGTGAATGGTACAGACAATCTGTGTTCTAAGGAATGGGTTTGACCAGAGAAAACAGAAATATGCTTCTTGGAAGATGCTGATTAACACTAAAATGATCTGTTCTATCTTGAAAACAAGAGTATGAACTCTGTATAGGCAGAGATCACGTGTTCTCATCTATATCCCTGGGGTCCCAAACAAGGCTTGATACATAATAAGACTTCAATACATATTTATTGACTGAATGAAGGGACTTTGGTTGGAAAAGACACAGAATTCTGCCCTCCACATGAAAAGAAGCACCATGCTCCTTGGAACTCAGACCCCAAGAAAATGCCTGGACTGTGTGCTTTCCTCATCCAGGATCCTACCACACACCCTGACATGTCTTACCATTTATTCCCCTGCCTGGCTCTTCTACCAATGAAACTCAACCACCCCAACGACACGTCCTATAAGCTGCCAGAAGCTGACAGTGAGAAAAGAGCAATGACTGCTTACCTGTTGGCTGTCGGGCCCTTGCTTCTTTCAGGTAATAGAGTGCTTTGTCATAGTCCCCAAGGTGGTAGAAGGCCACACCAGACCGATAAAGGGCCTTGAAGTTTTCTCCTTCCTTCTTCAGGACTTTGAGGCAATACTCTTTGACTCGCTCATAGTTCACCAGCTCAGCCTGGAGCAGGCAGGCTATGGAAGAAGAGAAAAAGAAGAGGAAATGGCATCAACAGAGTAGTGGCATGCTCTGAGGGATTCCCCCTCTTGATTCTTTCTCCTAAAGAAGGTTTAGTAGTATGGTGTGGCGGTTCACACCACAAACTTTGTTATCAAATCATCCTGGGTCTCAGGACCAGTTTCATCATTAACAAGCTGTGTGACCTTGAGTAAGGTACTTAGCTTTGCTAAGCTCCAAGAGGCAATAATAATAATTTATTTTTGCTGTTAGGTGCCATCAAATCAGTGCCGACTCATAGCGACCCTATGCACAACAGAACGAAACATTGCCCAATCCTGGGCCAACCTCACAATTGTTGCCACGCCTGAGCCCCTGATGCTGCCACTTTGCCAATCCATCTTGTTAGGGGTCTTCCTCTTTTTCTCTGACCCTCCACCTTACCAAACATGATATCCTTCTCCAGCGACTGGTCCTTACTGACAATACGTCTGAAGTATGAAAGAGGAACTTTGGCTGTCCTGGCCTCCAAGGAGCACTCTGGCTGCACTTCTTACAACACAGATCTGTTTGTTCTTTTGGCAGTCCATGGTATTTTCAATATTCTCCTCCAACACCATAACTCAAAAGCATCAATTCTTCTACAGTCTTCCTTATTCACTGTCCAGATTTTACATGAATATGAGGTTATTGCAAATATCATGGCTTGGGTCAGGTGCACCTTTGTCCTCAAGCTGACATCTTTGCTCTTCAACACTTTAAAAAGGTCTTGTGCAGCAGATTTGCCTTTGTGAGTGCTGCTTCCATGAGTGTTGATAGTTGATCCAAGATTGACAATTTCAATCTTTTCTCCATTGATAGGAATGTTGTTTATTGGTCCAGTGGAGAGGATTTTTGTTTTCTTTGTATCGAGATGCAACCCATACTGAAGGCTGTGGTCTTTGATTTTCATCAGTAAGTATTTTGAGTCCTCTTCAGTTTCAGCAAGCAAGGTTGTATCATCTGTATATTGCAGGTTGCTAATAAGTCTTCCTCCAATCCTGATAACTATCTGGCCAAATGATTGGAAGAATTCCAAATAAAGGTGACCCAATGGAATGAGGAAATCATCAGACAATATCTTTGATATCCCATGCAAGTAAAGTTTTACTAAAGGTAATGCAGAAATGGCTGCAAGCATACATTGACAGAGAACTTCCAGAGGTTCAAGCTGGATTCAGAAGAGGCTGTGGAACGAGGGATATCATTGCTGATGTCCGATGGATCTTGGCTGAAAGCAGAGAATACCAGAAAGATGTTTACCTGTGCTTTATTGACTATGCAAAGGCTTTCGATTGTATGGCTCATGACAAGCTATGGACAACATTGCAAAGTATGACTATTCCTGAACACTTAATTGTGCTCATGAGGAATCTGTGCCTGGACCAAGAGGCAGTTGTTCGAACAGGACATGGGAACACTGAATGGTTTGAAATTAAGAAAGCTGTATGACAGGGTTGTTGCACCATAATAGTAATAACCATGGCTAATATTTGTTTTATTTACATTGAGGTTGGCCCAGGACCTGGCAGTGTTTTGTTCTGTTGTGCATAGGGTCGCTATGAGTCAGTACTGTCTTGATGGCACCTAACAGCAACAATATTTGGAGTCCTGGCATGGCACTGTAGGATAAACACTGGAACACAAAGTAAGTTTAAACTGCAAGACTGGCAAATTCTTGAAAACCCTCCTATACAGGGTCACTATGAATCAGAATTGACTTGACAGCACGTAACAACAACCACAATATTTGTTGAGAGGGTAATGTGGTCCAGTAGTAGAATCCTTGCCTTCCTTGTGGGATAATCAAGTTTGATTCCCAGCCAATACACCTCAAATGCAGCCACTGCTTGTCTGTCTGTGGAAGCATGCATGTTGCTATGATGTTAAACAGGCTTCAGTGGAGCTTCCATACTAAAAGAGAGAAGGTAGAAAAGCCTAGCAACCAATGAAAACCAATGTTCCAATCTGTAATCAATCATGGAGATGACTACTGGGCAGTGTTTTGTTCCATGTACATGGGGTCACTATAAGTCATGGGATAACTCAAACAACAATAGGTATTACCTTGTGCTTACCTTGTGCCAGATACTAGTCTCATTGCTTTATATGTATTACCTGGTGTAATCCTCAGAACACTATGATCTAGGTACAATTATTATTCCCATTAAATTGTGCTCATGAGGAACCTGTACATAGACCAGGAGCAGTTCCCTCTAACTAAACAAGGGAACACTGAATGGTTTAAAATCAGGAACTCTGTGTGCCAGAGTTGTATCCTTTCACCATATTTATTCCATCTGTATGCTGAGCAAATAATTCAAAAAGCTGGATTTTATAGAGAAAAACATGGCATTAGGATTGGCGGAAGACTCATTAATAACCTGAGATACACAAATTATGCAACCTTGCTTGCTGAAAGCCAAGAGGACTTAAAATACTTAAAAAAGATCAAAGACCACAGTCTTTAAAATAAAACAAAAATCCTCACCACATCAAGATAAATGGAAAAAAAGATTTAGTTATCAAAGACTTCTTTTTGTTTTGTTTTGTTTTAAGACTTCATTTTGTTTGGATGAACTATTAGCACCCGTGAAAGCAGCAGATACATTGCATTGGGCAAATCTGCTCGCTGTACAAGATATCTTTAAAGCGTTCAAAAGCAAAGATGTCAGTTTGAGGTCTAAGGTGTGCCTGACCCAAGCCATGGTATGTTCTAGCATACACATTCTCTACAATGGTGTCCATAGATTGTCATGATTGACACAATCGAGAGATTTTGCATAGTCAATAAAACACAGGTAAACATCTTTATGGAATTCTCTGTTTTTGGTCAAGATCCTTTGGACATCAGCAATATCCCTCATTCCAGATCTGAAACTGAATCTGGCTTGAACCTCTGGCAGTTGCCTGCCACTGTACTGTTGCAGCTGTTTTTGAATTATCTTTAGCAAAATTTTACTTGCATGTAATATTAATGATATTGTCCCATGAAATCATTCCATTGGGTCACTCTCTTTGGAATGGGCATAAATATGGATCTCTTCCAACCAGTTGGCTAGGTAACAGTCTTCCAAATTTCTTGGCATAGATGAGTGACTGCCTCCAGTGCTTCCAGTTTGTTGAAAGATTTCAATTTGTATTCCATCAATTCCCAGAGCCTTGTTCTTTGCCAGTGCCGTCAGCACCTTGGACTTCTTCCTTCAGTATCATTGGCTCTTGATCATATGCTACCTCTTGAAATGATTGAATATTGACCATTTCTTTTTGGTACAGGGACTGTGTATTCCATCTTATTTTGATACTTTCTGCATAATTCAATATTTTGCACATAGAATTCTTCAATATTGCAAGTCAAGGCTTGAATTTTTCTTCCATTCCCTCAGCTTGAAAAAATGCTGAGCATGCTCTTCTCTTTGCTTTTCTATCTCCAGATCTTTGCACATTTCATTATAATATTTGACTTTGTATTCTCAAGCTGCCCTTTGAACTTTTAAGCTCTTTAACCTTCTAATTTCTTCCATTTGCTTTAACATGTCTATGCTGGAGAGCAAGTTTCAGAGTCTCTTCTGACATGCATTTTGATCTTTTCTTTCTTACTTGTCTTATTAATGACCATTTGCTTTCTTCCTGTATGACATTTTTGATGTCCTCCAACAACTCTTCTGGTCTTCGATTATTGTTGCTGCTGTTAGGTGCCATTGAGTCGGTACTGACTCATAGTGACCCTATGCACAACAAAATGAAACACTGCCCAATCCTGTGCCAACCTCACAATTGTTGCCATGCCTGAGCCCATTGATGCTGCTGCTTTGCCAATCCATCTCCCTGGGGGTCTTCCTCTTTTTCTCTGACCCTCCACCCTATCAAACATGATATCCTTTTCCAGCGACTGGTCCCTCCTGACAACGTCTGAAGTTTGAGAGACAAAGTTTGGCCATCCTGGCCTCCAAGGAGCACTCTGGCTGCACTTTTTCCAACACAGATTTGTTGGTTCTTTTGGCAGTCCATGGCACTTTCAATGTTCTCCTCCAACACCACAACTCAAATGCATCAGTTCTTCTACAGTCTTCCTTATTCACTGTCCAGTATATGACGTTATTGAAAATACCATGGCTTGGGTCAGGCGCACCTTAGTCCTCAAACTGACATCTTTTCTCTTCAACACTTTAAAAACGTCTTGTGCAGCAGATTTGCCTAATGCAA